AAAAAAAAAAAAAAAAAAAAAAGCCGGGTTGCATTGACGAATCTGCAGGGAAGGTAGCATTAGCACCAGGCCCAGCAGCAGCGTCACGTTCAGCGTCTTCTGCAAACCCCCCCCGAGTCTGGTTACAACGCCACTACGGTTCCTCCTCAATATCACCAAAAAACTAATCTCACCCATCTTATCCATCCTGATCGTCATGTCAAAATCGTCGATGTCGTTGTCCTCACCTCCAAATTCCTTCATCATCTTCATCATCATCTTCATCATCATCTTCATCCTGATCATCATCATCATAATAATCTTCATCCTCATCATCATCATCTTCAGCTTCATCCTCATCATCTTCATCCTCATCATCATCATCATCGTCATCTTAACCATTACGCTCAGTGCTGCGATCACGCCGTTATCATTATCACTACCATTACCATCACCATCACCTTCATTTCTTCCTGCCCAAAACGCCACCCTGTGCCCAAGCTTCGACATCGTCATCATCGCCAGCCCCACTGCACCGTCAAATGAGAATCAGGAGAGGAAGGAGAAAAGATATGACAATGCGTCATGAAGAAGCAGCAGGAGAAGAAGATGATGAAGATGATGGGATGCTGATGGTTTACGGTGTCATTTGGGCGTGAAGAACAGAGAGCGAGGCAAGCCACAGACACGCAAGTAGAGGGACCTACACGGCAAATGGCGCATTGCTGTGGGGAAGACAGCGGTCACAGATATGGAGGACGAGAGGGAGCAACTTCATAATAACGACGATTGCAACTGTAAGAAAGGACGAGGAGGAGGAGTAGGCGAAGAAGGAGAAGGACGGTCATCATAAGGATTGTCATATGGTGGATGGCGATGGAGATTGAGGAGAAGAAGGAGGAGGAGGAGGAGGAGGAGGAGGAGGAAGACGGTCATTATGAGGGTTGTCATATGGTGATGATGGCGATGGAGATGACGGCGATGATGATTGGGTGATCAGGGTGAATTGCGATGATAGATGGGGTTAATGATTGGTGATATGGATGGCATTACTACTAGGATAGGAAGATGAGGATGAAGGCGACCAAGGAGTGATAATAAACGTCAACAGTGCATGCATACTATTGTCCGATCGATGATCACGATGGTGGCGAGGATGATGACGATGAGGACAATGAAATGGGTAAAAGAACGACGATGATCGTAAGAATGACCACGAGGGAGTAAAATGATGGAGTGAAATGATGAGGAGGGAGAGAAATGATGGAGAGGGAGTGAAATGATGACGATGATGACAGCGAAATGGTGTGGTGGTCCCCACGAAGATGATTGTAAGGATGACGACGATGACGAGGACAGTCGTAAATTATGACAAGAAGGCGTTATGTACCGTGATGATGCAGGTGTGGTGGTCCCCACCCCCGACGAAGATGATGACTACCGGCAGGTGTGATACGGTAATTAAGAAAGAGAAGATGGCAATGATGGTGATCACGATGACTAAGTGATGAAAGATCATGTGGGAATGACAACGGAACTGCTATGCAGATCGAGGTCGTTAATCGGGATGGTAATGATGATGCTCGCTATGGTGATGATGATGAAGCCAACGACGTCTCTCATGATTATGATAAAGAGGAATCCTTTATACAATCCATTTGCTTGAACAACGAGAACGTCAACAGCAGCAGCCACAGTTCCGACATAGTTAGCTAGGATCCACAGCATCCATTACTTATTATGATAAGAGTGAAGTAATCTTTTCTACAATACTAGTAAATATCATAAGAGAAATGATCGCTGCTGATACTAGTATTACGTCCCTTAGGTTTCAAGTCAGCATACGTTATAGTTTTTAGCGACGATACCGATGAGGACGGGTGATGGATGACCTGAAAGGTTTGCAGGAAACCCGCAGGACGATGGTAAAGCAACGGCTGTGGAAGAAGAGTGGAAAAGGTCACGCTATGACAATACCTATCGGGTAATCAATCACCTTTGAGTAATCAATCACCTGCAGGATGAATGTTGGACGTACGATAGTACGGATCGCGCTTCAAGAAGCACACGCTATGACAATACCTATCGGGGAATCAATCACCTTTGGTCCAGACAAAGAAGTTCACAAGATCACGCCGATGACGACAAGAACGAGGAGCATAAATCGACGGTTATGCTACAGAGACGATGAACATGTGAGGAAAATGCCTGCCTCTCTCTCTCTCTCTCTCTCTCTCTCTCTCTCTCTCTCTCTCTCTCTCTCTCTCTCTCTCTCTCTCTCTCTCTCTCTC